TCAGCTTCCAAGACCAGTTATTTCTTTTCGATCTGACATTTGTGGTCATCATTTTTGAGAGATACAGATGTCATTCATGCTTTATCAAAAATATCTTTCAGGGAACCCAAGATGCACGTGTATAGCAGAAGTTAATGAAAACTATGATGGAGTCGTATGTAAAGTGATGGTCTCTCCTTGTTGTTCGCCTAATGAGGTCATTACAGAACATCTGATATTTTTACATTATATTTTTAATCTTCGTTCCTAAGTAAGCACATTTATATAATTCTTATGTAACTAAAATTCATGTTAGGATTGAATCTATCAGATTAGATTTGTTAAACTACTAGTTACATATATTGTTAACTACCTTGATGACTTGAACTTCGAAAATTTGTATGTATTTGATACTTGCGAGGGCTTATACAAAGGACAGTTGGTTGTGATGAGACGGAATGAATAAACGAACAGATATATTCTATAATATAATTTTCAAGTAAAATGCTATATTTGCATGTAATTTTCCCTAACTCTTAAACTCTTAAGAACACACACAAAATATAGTTTTGTTAGTTTTGAAACACAAAGGAGTTTTATTTTATTTTTCTATTCCGCGTTAAATGTTTTTGGTAATGCTATTTGGCTTTTTTTCCTTTAATAATTTTCATTGCTAAAAATATCTGATATTATGAACAAGCTTTTTTTTAAAGAATTTTTGTGTGTGAGAGAATGTATAAGTTTTTGCAAGTTTAACAAAAACACTTCACAGACACTTGTTCTTTTTTCCCCAATAATTTTTTGTAAAAGAAGAATTTTTACATTTTAACTACTTTTCTTTTGCCAAATATTATTGGACCTTGTGTTAAGGTATTTTTAGAAAGTCAAATACGTGTATAGTTAAAAATGTCTTTTGTTTACTATTATCTTACACGTAGATAAATATAGTTAAAAGATTACGTTGTATTTGGTTTTCCATTTAAATTTATCTGTCTTATGAAGTGCATTAAAAAAGAATGCCCACAACTTATGTATACATGCCAATACAGTGTCAGTCTTATTATGCTCATCATGTTATTTACAAAAAGAGCTGTCAGTCAATCCTTAATTTCTTGTCCGGTATGATAGTATTTCTGCTTTATGTCAGTAAACGTCCTTATTTATGTGATATCTTAGTCACGTCTCACACAAACTATGTCCGTATGACAAAAAGTCAGAAAATACTGTATTTATCTAAATCCTCTACATCTTCTCAGAATGCAGTAAGACTTCAGAGTAAGTTGACAATGATGAGCATGATGAGCACGTCCATGTCCTGATACCTTCACATATTACTGGTAAAGCTCACCAGATTCGAATGTTCAGACTGACCCAAGATCATAAAGATGGATGCTCGCATGCCCGCAAAGAGTAAACAATTGATAATTTATTTGAAAGAAATGATCTATAAAAAATCACGTGATTGAAATAAATTTGACAGGACCATTCAAGGGGCGCTTTAGCATAAAATATGCAAAAAATCGTTGAAAGGCATTTTTACACAAACCATTGATGGTGATTAATTATAAACGTTACCAAAACCAGGAGTCATAACCTTTCATTTTACACCTTAGAATTTTTTTCATAAAAACCGGTCAGCTCATCTTAGGAGTAAGGAACTATAAAAAATTAAGTAAAATAAAAGTCGGACATCTGCCTTTCATAAGCCTTTAGAAGCAATACTTAGACTTCTATTTATTGTGTTGAGCTATGATGTAATTTCTATCATAGCTCTCTTGATGAATGAGTTATGGTACTTTCATATAGGTTCTATAACTTGCATTACAAAGTAATTTACTTTGCAATGTATCAAATTAAAAAAAAAACAAAAAAACAAAAGAAAGTGAAAAAAGTTTTTCTCCACTTTCCGTTTGTTTTGATTTCAAATCACGCAGCGGAATCATTTTATCAAATACCTTGCTAGTCTGTTTTTCTTTCTAGAACCATTGATAAATCAATTCCCGAGCAACATACGTGTATTTTTGTTTAAATATAATTTCTATAATGTTTCAAATTGACTGGTAATCACGTGCAAAAAGAATATGAAACAAATGTGGACTTTTAAGCTTGCGAGTATGATGTGATGCAATAACTAAGGCGAATATTGATTTTTCAGTATATGTATATCATATAATATTCACCAGCTAAAAAATCCATATTTGTTTATTTATATATAACGCAAATACATTTCTCGAAGCTTTATTGGCTTAAAGTTACATTATGCCCATCCAATTGTATATAGTGAGTGAAACAGGTGAAAGTCAAATTTAGTTTAACTTTTGGCATAAATCCTTTCAATTTTATGATGTACTACGCTTGAACGATACAAAACTCACATGGCCTAAAGAAATTTCTATAAATAGCCACCAGAATTTACATGTAACAATCAGTTTTGTAAAAAGAGTGGGGCAGTCTTTTTATATTTTAGGCAGATTTATATTTTATCCTTAACATTTTTCAATACCAACTGTTTGTCAATCACCAATATTACAGTCATTTTTGAAAAAAATACATTGTCAGTTTAACTGAACTTATGAACATAATGTCACAATATTCTAGAAGTTTGAGTTGTTTGAATAATATGCCGTATATAAAATGAAAAACAGAAGTGCGCACAAATAACAATGTTTTCTACATCGCAGAAGTTAAACTACGTTTGTGCATAAAATGTATTATTGCGTTTTATGCTTTATGCCATATTTCCTGATTCAAGTAGGATTATTTCAAATAAATAGGACAAAGTTTGAACGCAGTGATGACTTAAATTACTTTTGATTGCCAAGCATTCGTATAGTTGTTGTACGTGAGATATCTTCTTTTTTCGTGCGTCTTTTCTTCGCCTTTCGACCGAACGGTCTAAAGTTGCTGTTTTTATGAACTTTTCGTCAATAACAATTTGCATTATTATAAATTTGGTATACAAGTTGCTGACTTTATATACGGGGGAATATAGACTTGCTGGCATAAATATAACTCGAGGCGAAAGCAACGGTCATATTTATCTCATTCAGGCTAATATTAAATAATTTATAAATAGCTTTTAAATTAAATACAACATGTCTTAAGATTGTTTGCTTTTTATGGGTTTTATCTTAAAAGCACCCACAGGAACGCTGTATTCGTAATAATCCTCAATAAACATAAAAACGCTAACGAACATTTCAATTACGCGTTCAAAATAATACCACCAAACTAAAAAACAAAACAAAACGAAAAGAACCGTAACAAACGACTGTAACATCAAGTAATATCTGCGCTTCCTTTGGTGGCTTTACTGAAATTCTGTCCTTAAGAACAAATTGTTATTGTACTCTAATAATCTATTTTTAGGAGAAAAATAAACTTTTCTGACATTCATACGGGCGATAGCATTTACGTTAAGCTGTTATACATTTATAAGGGACGATATTTACTAGAAATGTGAGCCATTTAAATGGGCGGCGTTATTTACTTGTAGCTGTAAGCAATTTATGCTGGCGACGATGTCTAAATGAAACTGACAGATGTTTAAACTCGCGACGCAGTCTTCTTGTAGCTGTTATCCATTATTTCAGGCGGTGGTGTCTAGTTAACGACGGTGTTTACTTATAGCTGTCTGAAGTTAATGCGGGCGACGGTATCTACTTGTAGCTGTAAGCAATTATTACGGGCGACGGTGTCAACTTGTAGCTGTTTGACATTTACGCGGACGATGGTGTCTACTTGTAGCTGTCTGATATTTATGCGGGCGACGGTGTCTACTTGAAGCTGTTAGCAATAATTACGGGCGACGGCGTCTATTTGTAGCTGTCTGACATTAATTCGGGCGACGGTGACTAATTGTAACTGTTACCCATTATTACGGGCAATGGTGTCTACTAATAGCTGTCTGAAATTAATGCGGGTGACGGTATCTACTTATAGCCGTCTGATATTAATGCTTGCGACCGTGTCTACTTGTAGACTGTAGTAATCATTACGGGCGACGATTTCTACTTGCAGCATCTAGTAATTATTAAGGGTGACGGTGCCTACTTATAACTGTCTGGCAATAATGCGGACGACTAGGTATATCTGTAGTTATCTGACATAAATGCGGGCGACGGTGTCTACTTGTAGCTGACATTAATACGACGACGACGTCTACTTGTAGCTGTTACCAATTATTATGGGCGACGAGTTTAGCTTGTCGTGTAATTGTACTTGTTGTACGGTATAATTCGCACGGCATTGTCACGTTTTTTAAAGAAATAATCAGCAACAGTTATCTCTTGAACATTTTTAACCATCTTTATTAAAACTAATTTCACTAATATTGAATGTATTATTTCGAAGACAGCTCTTTGTCACCGCATAAAGTATAGATGTTTGAAAGAAATTTAGTTCATAAGTTAATATAAATATTTCTTTTATTTTAAGAAACGATGTCATAAACAGTACCTGCTGCATTCAACTTTTAAAGCAGCATTGCTTCAGTGCCATGCCAAATGGTGATTTTTAAGGCAGACAGTTGGCGTTATCACGAATGTAAAATTAATTTTGCCTCGGAATGCCAAACTTTTGTGATTGCTTTTGTAAAAGAATGAGTGTTTATAAAACTTTTTTTACATCTGTATAAGTAGACCAAACGATCAAGAAAGCGTCTTTTGACGTACTCCAAACTGCACCTAGAAAATATTCAAGATATGCATTTATCCTCATCACATCTTTGTTTCTTAAAATATTAAAAGAACAAAGATCAATAATAAAGATACAAGCATATATGTATCAAATTGTATTCAATATATATTCACAGGACATGGGGAATTATAGATCATGTAAACATTCTTAACATGACAATACAATTGAACAATAATAGATTCATACCCAGAAAATAGATCCTTCGTTTAGTAAAATGCTTTCAATTGTTTTTAATAAAGAATATTATATCGATTATTTCAGACTTATTTTCTGGGTACAAATAGCAACAAGGATGAATATCATATCGCTATCAATGTTCATACCTGTGTATAAGAAGCCCGCAGCTGCTAATCGTCCCGGTGAAACTGGACTTCCCGCCGGCCAACCAACAAAGGTCGAAACTCTTCTGTCCATTTCGCCAAATTCAGCACTAGATACTGTCGCATCAGGTATTTCTGGCATAGGGTTGCTCTCTTGTTCATGATGATCAATCGGGACGTTCTCATTGTCAAGTCCTCTCGCAAAAGTACAATTTGGTGACAAACGTAAATGTACTTCTCTAATATCTGTGCTATTTTCGTTTGAAAAATTCATTGTATGTTCACAACAGAAGCACCTCACAAGTTGATCTATGCCAAGATAATAAAACCCGTTCTTAGCTAGTCGTATTGTAGAATGTATTGATTCTATTGGAAATATTCTACCATAACTTTCAAGTCTTGCCCACTCGTACTTTTTCAATGTATGTGATGACATACCATTGACTAAGTTATCAAGGTAGTTAAGCAAACTCGCCATTTTCTGTCTGAATTTTGGCCTTGTTAAAATCGAGAACCTGAAATATATATATTCAACAGAATTACAGTCTTTCATTTAATTAGCATTATTAAGTATATTATCAGTGTTTATATATGCATTTACATTTGAAATACTCAAATACAGATCATATAATATACAGGGCGTTGGCTGTTCAAGTTTCGGTTTCCCAAACGAAGTTTATTAACATGACCTTTTATTAACAGTTATATATAACGTTATTACCACACACATGTAAAATTTATCCTTTGATACTATAGGATACAGAACTGTAATTAATTTTAAAGGTATTAAATGCTTATTTTGATAAAGAAATTATTTACCTGAATACTTCCTTTGGGACAGGTAATATTCGGTTTTTCCAACTTATTTTTAGTAACATTAGTAATAAAAAGACAATAAATACTTCCGGCGTATTAATTAAGTTCACCCACGTGTGAAATACAAAGTAACTTGCACGTGAAAGAGAAACATGTGAATACGTACCTTTAATAAGTTATTAAGATGCTCGAAAACTAGATACCATTTGTTTAATAAAGAGAAGAACAATGTGTCGCATACGATGGTCAGCTCAGAACTGACGATTTATTGAAGACAAAGATTCATGAGCATATCAATTTGTGATTGGTCGTTATAATTATAAACTCGGCATGTGAGGGGGTTAGTTAATCATGTGATATTAGATACTATTTATAAACATCAAAACATGACTATGAGTAATGGTTGTACACAACTAAATTAGAGCTAATACGAAGCATCTTCCCCCTTTAAGTTGAAATTTCACAATGTTAATAAATCAATATTTTTAGATAAAATTTCAAAATAGATTTTACAAAATTGCCAAAATGTCTTTAGCACTAAACATTTGTCAAATACTTTAAATTCTTTCCTACTAGCATAATTTCATTATATTGACGATTAAAGCACTTGTCTGTATCAGCCTTTAGCTTGCATTATTAAAGCTATATAGAACACCATTTAATTCAATTAAACTTAAGTAACAAAGTCATCATAAGTCTTTGGCTTCACAATACAACCACTCCTCGTCACAACTGTAAGTTCCTCGTCATTGGTAACTATCTCTGGCTCAACCGTAATATTGTTTGGTACTGATCTAGCCTTAGAGCTATAGTTAATAATATCATCACCAAAAATTGACTGAATAGTTTGTAACGGATTATCTCCCTTTGGTGTTAACTGTTAATGTCTTCTATTTCTACGGTAAGTACCTCTAGGAGTTTCAACAATATATGATCTACGGTCTACGTAAATGTCTTTAATCAATCCTGTAGAAGTTGACCATGATTTATCAGTATCGGTCTAACATTATCGCCTGGATTCAAATTACTCAGTTGCCTTGTACCATTGCGTTGGTGGTAATTGGTCCTAAAACGTTCCTTATATTTACTATCCCGTAAACGCGTATCATCTCGTTCCATCCATTCTGGTGTTAATGTTGATGAAAAGGTAGGTAATAGTGTACGAATCTTCCTACCTCATCATTTCAGCTGGGCTAAGTCCCGTTGTCTCATTTGGCGTTAGCCATAGGTACCATGGGTGCACACCAATCCGTGGGGTGTATCACTTTTTCAATAATGCCTTCTTGCTCTAATCTATCATTTGTTCAGCCACTGTAAGACTGAGAAGATTGCTACCAGTTGCTCCATTGATGAATAGGAAATGTGTATTTTTTTCCATTTTCATGTAGTTTCGGCCTTGAACATTCCAATACAATCGAGTTTACCACCTGGTCCTAATAGGGGAACCACTGATGGCTTCAAATCAAAATCTCTATTCCGTTTAAAGCGGAAATAAGTGTCACTACTGATAACGGAGGTATCTGCTCCAGAGTCTATTTTGAAATTAAGTGTCTTACAGTTAATATTATAGTTAATAGTTCAAGGTGATATATTATCCTTACAATTTGTCACAGATCCTAAAAATAATGGCTTACTTGCTTCACAAGCCTCGTTAACTTTGCTAGGTCTAAGTTTATTCGTGCAACACACAGCAAAATGATTATAAGTATGACAGTTCCTGCATTTATTCCCTTTTGCAAAGCAATTTCCTCTTGCGTGGTGTAGATTACAATTGTTACAACGAGGATTATCTCTAAAATTAGCACGTGCGCCGCCATTACTCCTCTGTTGATGAAACTGAAAGTAGCCATTCGTACCGCGTTTTTTTTGATCGAAATGCGAACATTTCCTGTCTTGAAGTTGAAGGCTTGTTCATTTTCACCGCGTCAACCAATTTTGAAGAAGTTTGATCTTTTATTTGAGATTTCAGTAGCTCATTCTGCCGTGCGATTTCAACGTCGTTTTCAAGGGTTAAGTCTTCTTTTAAATGCATTTTTTCCGACAATTCTTTATTAGTAATTCCAATCACGAGCCTGCCCCAAATTTCTTCACTTGTTTTGTTTAAAGTCACAATGTTCTGCAATCTCATACAGGCTGCGGACAAGTACTTCCACAGTTTCGCCCGATTGTTGCGATCTTCAATGAAATTTCGCCCGTTCGTGTACTACATTTCTTTTCGGAATAAAATAGTCCTCAAATTTCTGAAGTACAACATTATATTTCTTCTCATCTCCCTCCGCAAATTCGAACGTTTTCAATATGTGCTCTGCTTCTTTCCCTATCGAATATATAAGGACCTCATCATAATCCTCATTTAGCTTCGTCGCCATCCTGAAGCGAGAAAATCTCTCTTTCCAATCAGGCCATTCAGCTAGGTGACTGAAGTTGAGGTGTTGTTGTGGTTGTAACCAAAACATTGTTACCGCTGTATCGAAACAACGTATAATTGCAGACGTACTGTAGTCCTATTCTTCGTTAATCTGAATAACATTAGTTGTACGCGCCCATTTCTGACACCATGTTTAATAAAGAGAAGAACAATGTGTCGCATACGTTGGTCAGCTCAGAACTGACGATTTATTCAAGACAACCCCTCAACAAAGATTCATGAGCAAATCAATTTGTGATTGGTCGTTATAATTATAAATTCGGGGTGTGAGAGGGTTAGTTAATCATGTGATATTAGATACTATTTATAAACATCAATACATGACTATGAGTAAAGGTTCAACACAACTAAATTAGTACTAATACTAAACACCATTCAATGTATGTTTTATTTAGGTAATTCCCAATTTTTGGTTTGGCGGATGAATAAAATGCGTAATAACTGTTTTAAAAATGATACCATTTTTAGAAGATTTAACGATACAATGATTCGAAACATTTCCAAACATATCTTTGATTACATGTGTATTTTATGTAGTATACATTGATCGTACAACTCTATACCGATCAAAATTACGTTCATGTGATCGAGGTACTCAAGGAAGTATCAGAGAAAGGGCCGAGAAGCCGTGCATGACAAATTGCACTGAACTATATATAGCAGGTTATAGACTCGAGATTGAAACCGGCAGGTGGAATAAACCTAGTGCTATACCTTTTAATGATAGGAAATGTAAAAATTGTTTTATTTTGGAAGATGAATTTCACTTTATTTTAGAATGTTCTCTATATAATGAATTACGAAAAATATATATAAAAAAACACTTTTGGAAAAGACCAAATATACCTAAATTTGTTACATTGATGAATTCAGAAAATGAAATAGAAATTAGAAACTTATCAATGTATATATTTAAAGCTTTCGATGTTCGAAACACTATTCTTTACAGTTAATCAAAAGTTTGTCCCAAACGCTGTATCACTGTTTCTTACATACACTTATTTTCGTTTTGTTTTGTGATTTAATTATTAATAGGATGGTATCTTTCCTTAGTATTTATTTACCAGTATATGAATTGAGACATGTTGATAGTATATTCTATTTATAGTTAACGTTTTCTGATTGCTAATAATGATATATGTTTTATTAAGTTGTGACATTGACCATTTGATTGTATTGTATGCTTTGTTATATGTACTGTGTATGCATGGGCATATTGCCCAAATGTACTGTGAAATAAACTCTTGAAACTCTTTATATCTATATAGATTAAGGTAAAATTAAACCTGTTTAATCATTAGAATGATATGTGGGTACACATAATGACATAACTATTGAGACCTTTATCAGGCTTCAATTTGTTAAATAGACATACCTTCGAACTTTCGATCTTAATATGGACAAACAAACGTATTTTCACCAAATATAGCTTGCACGAGGGATGTTCAAATATAAATGCAACTGGGTAAATTTTCAGAAATGCCAAAATAATTATCTCAATCCTTCAAATACTCACCACCATGTGATATACAAAGGTTTAGTCTTTTTATCCAAGTTTTAAATGCGTTTTCATGCGTTTTGAGGTATACTGTTTAGACACTGGAAAATAGCCGAACCGAGACTTTTTCGCGTTTGATATTTTCTTCCAGCAAGGTGTTTTTTGAGCCTCGGAAAAAGTCACGAGGGGCAAGGTCCAGCGAATAAGGAAATATCTTTAATTTATGAAAGAGCTTGCCTTTGCAAAACTTGGCATTTACAGATTTACCCGTTGGTACGGCAATTTGAATATCAGGACCTTGATTAATAAATAAAATTACATACATGACCTTTTTGACGCTCATGGTGCATTTTGCTATGCAATGTCTTTGACTTCCTTTGGTTGCCCATATTTTGCTATGTATCTTTCGATTGGGCTCATAAAAGTGAACCCACTTCTCATAGCCAGTGATGATATTTAAAGATCGATTGTTGTATTTATGGAACTGTTTCAACAATTGTTTGGAGATTCTTACCCGAGCAAGTTTTTGCTCTTTTCTAAGAAAATGGGGTATTCATCTGGCATCTTTCTTCTCATTTTTAAATCACGTCTGAGAATTGTATGAGCGGCTCCTACAGAAATACCAACGCATTTAGGTTTATATCTAGTTGTAAATCTTGCATCAGTAGCAATCAATTCCTCTACTCTTTCAACCATTTTTGGCAAAGTTGCAGTTTTCGGACGGAGGGCATGGTGTACATCTTTTACTGAATCTACATCGCTTTGAAATTTCTTACACCACCGTGTGACAGATGAAAAAGAAAGTACATTGTTCCAATAAACACGACATATTTTTTTAAAATATGTCTTTTGCCTGTATACCAAGAATACAGCGGATCTTGATATAGGACCGTATTTGGTCAGTGAAAGGAGACCTTTTCCCAACCATTTTAGCTTGAGCATACACGAGTTGATACCGTTAATCGAGCTTTTGTTAAAGTTAGACTGAAGTGATTTACACATGTATTGTATCAATTGAAAGTTTACACAACTATCTATGCGATACAAGTAAATAGTTCGTGCAAAATCTGGTTAAAAGCGAGTTATTGGTCTAGTTGCATTCATATTTGAACACCC